ACCCATGGCACCTGGGTCTGTCCGGTGACCTCCTCCTGCACCTAGCCTGGCACAGTACTCAACCCATGGCACCTGCTGGGTCTGCCCCATGACCTCCTCCTGCACCTAGCCTGGCACAGCACTCAACCCATGGCACCTGCGGTCTGCCCCATGACCTCCTCCTGCACCTAGCCTGGCACAGCAGTCAACCCATGGCACCTGCTGGGTCTGCCCCATGACCTCCTCCTGCACCTAGCCTGGCACAGCACTCAACCCATGGCACCTGCGGTCTGCCCCATGACCTCCTCCTGCACCTAGCCTGGCACAGCAGTCAACCCATGGCACCTGCGGTCTGCCCCGTGACCTCCTCCTGCACCTAGCCTGGCACAGCACTCAACCCATGGCACCTGCGGTCTGCCCCGTGACCTCCTCCTGCCAGCAGCGAGAGTCTTCAACACTTCACGTGAGGGCCTCAAAGTGCACCTAGCCTGGTACCCCACCCCCCAATCCGCATTGTACCCCAGGAAACATCTCAACACCAAGAACAACCACCACCGCCACCACCACCACCAGCATCACCACCACCAGCACCACCACCACCACCACCGCCACCAGCACCACCACCGCCACCACCACCACCACCGCCACCACCGCCACCACCACCGCCACCACCACCACCGCCACCACCGCCACCACCACCGCCACCATCACCACCACCACCGCCTCACGCTCTGGGTGAGAACTGCGGAGCGGCATCAGGAGGAGAAGGGGCCATCGAGCGCGGAGAAGACACAGCCGGCGAATTCTCCGAATTCATCTCCCAACTTTCATCACCGCCGCCGCTTGTCTCCAACTGGAGTCTCGACTCTGGCTGCTGCTGCTGCTCCTGCTGCTGCTCCTGCTGCTGCTCCTGCTGCTGCAGCTGCTGCTGCTGCTGCGTAACAGGAGGTGACACCGCAGCCTCGCCGGCTCCGCTGACTCGTCCCGGCGACGAGATTTCGCGGTCGTCAGTTGTCGCCACCGAAGCCACCGAAGCCACCGCCACCGCCGCCACCTCTTTGTCGCGTTTCTTCTGCTTCATCCGCCGGTTCTGGAACCAGATCTTGACCTGCGCCTCGTGCAGCTGCAACGCGGCGGCCACCTCGACGCGTCGCGCACGCGTCAAGTAGCGGCTGAAGTGGAACTCCTTCTCCAGCTCGGTGAGCTGCCGCGTGCTGAAGTTGGTGCGCGGGGCGGCGCCCAGCAGAGGCACGCCGGCCACGAGGGGCAGGGAAGGGCCCACGCCACCACCACCACCGACGCCACCACCAACGCCACCACCAACGCCACCACCAATTCCACCACCACCAACAACAACAACGCCGCCGTCGCCAATGCGGTTGACCCCGCCGCAGCCGATGGGGTTAGCCGCTGCGGAGGGCAGAGAGGGCGGTGGGGGAGAGGGGATGGGGGAGGGAGGATGGGAGGGGGGATGGGGGGGAGGATGAGGGGGAGGATGGGAGGGAGGATGGGGGGGAGGATGGGGGGGATGGGAGGGAGGATGGGGGGGAGGATGGGGGGGGGGATGGGAGGGGGGATGGGATGGGAGGATGGGGAGGGAGGATGCAACACAAGCAATCATCATCGGGTACAAATGAAAGAGAAAAACACATTGTCCTGCGGAGGGAGCTGGTAGGAACGTTGGGTTGCTCGGTCAATGGCCTGCAGGGTCAACGGCGGCGTGGTGTATTCCGCAAATATGGCCGACTGTGAGGGCGGGCACAAGCCGGCGTGAGTAGGTGAAACGTTGAGTTTTATAAGGGCACCACGGGGTGACCAGCCCCTCCCCACCCAGCCCCACCCCTCCCACCCCCACCCAGCCCCACCCACCCCACCCAGCCCCTCCCCACTCACCCCACCCAGCCCCTCCCCACCCTCTCCACCCAGCCCGACCCCTCCCATGTTTGGATGCACGACGGACGGACGGACACAATAATCCCCTGTGGGCTGGTGTAACCAGGAGGTTCCTACCAGTATAAAAATTATAGATCTGTCTGCTTACTGTCTGTCTGTGAGTCTCCTGTTCTGTGTTTAATCTCTCTCTTAAACTTAGCAACCTTTGGAAGAACGTTAATCAACCAGGCAGGGTGTTGGCTGTTATGTTATCCGACTCTCTGTTGTATTACATTACATTTCTAAGTATACTAGATTTGTGTTTCTATTTCATTTGTACCCGATGATGATTGCTTGTGTTGCAATCGAAACGTCGTATGCTAGTATTTAATTTATTACTTTATCTTTCTACCGCGACTTTACCGAAAGAACCAGCGAGTAATTCCTGCAGTCACGACAGCGACAAACCAACTTGTTGTTATCATCACGTGGAAATGTCAAAGAAGCAGCCAAACACTGTTAACCCCGTGACGTTGATTCTAAATGTGGAGGGGAAAACATGGAGGTCCCGGGAAATAAACAACGCGACCACGGAGAGAGAGAGAGAGAGACACGCAAATTCCAAATATACAGCAGCAGGCGTCAGGGTCGGGATCGAACCCACGACCTCCTGTATACCAGGCGAGGTAGTTAACACCTGATAGCCACCGTGATGCCAAACGTGGTGCATTTCATCCGTAGATGCCCACCAATGCGCAAACGTGGAAGGAAAGTCAGGAAATAAACAAAACCAGCACAGGGTACACGGCCAGGCCTGGTGTGGGGAACAGGCCAGTTTACACACTCACCCACTCACTCACCCACTCACTCACCCACTCACCCACTCACTCACTCACCCACTCACTCACCCACTCACTCATTCACCCACTCACCCACTCACTCACTCACTCACCCACTCACTCACCCACTCACTCATTCACCCACTCACCCACTCACTCACCCACTCACCCACTCACCCACCCACTCACTCACTCACCCACTCACTGACTCACTCACCCACCCACTTGCACAACCACTCACTCACCCACTCACTGACCCACTCACTCACTCATTCACTCATTCACTCACCCACTCACTCACTCACCCACTCAATCACCAACTCACCCACTCACTCACCCAATCACCCACTCACTCACCCACTCACCCACTCACTCACCCACCCACTCGCACAACCACTCACTCACCCACTCACTCGGTCACCCACCCACTCCACTCACCCGCTCACTCACGCACTCACTCACCCACTCGCTCACCCACTCACTTATGCACTCAAACACTCGCTCAGAACCTGTAGGGTAAACAGCCAAGCAGTGGACAATTTACCCACCCACTCACTCACTTACTCACCCACTCCCTTGCCCACTCACTCACTCACTCCCTTACTCATTCACCCACTCACGTACCCATTCACTCACTTACTCACCCACCCACTCACTCAACCACTCACTCACTCACCCACTCCTTTACTCACTCGGCCACTCACTTACCCATTCACTCACTTACTCACCCACTCACTCACCCACTCACTCATCCACTCACTCACCCACTCACTCACTCACCCACTCACTCAATCACTCACCCACTCACCCACTCACTCACTCATCCACTCACTCACCCACTCACTCACTCACTCACCCACTCACTCACTTACTCACCCACCCACTCACTCACTCACCCACTCCTTTACTCACTCGGCCACTCACTTACCCACTCACTCACTTACTCACCCACTCACTCACCCACTCACTCACTCACTCACCCACTCACTCAATCACTCACCCACTCACCCACTCACTCACTCATCCACTCACTCACCCACTCACTCATTCACTCACTCACCCACTCACTCACTTACTCATCCACCCACTCACTCACTCACTCCCCCCCTCCTTTACTCACTCGGCCACTCACTTACCCATTCACTCACTTACTCACCCACTCACTCACCCACTCACTCATCCACTCACTCACCCACTCACTCACTCACTCACCCACTCAATCACTCACCCACTCACCCACTCACTCACTCATCCACTCACTCACCCACTCACTCACTCACTCACCCACTCACTCACTCACCCACTCACTCACTCACCCACTCACTCACTTACTCACCCACCCACTCACTCACTCACTAACCCACTCGTTTACTCACTCGGCCACTCACTTACCCACTCACTCACTTACTCACCCACTCACTCACCCACTCACTCATCCACTCACTCACCCACTCACTCACTCACTCACCCACTCACTCACTCACTCACCCACTCACCCACTCACTCACTCATCCACTCACTCACCCACTCACTCAATCACTCACTCACTCACCCACTCACTCACCCACTCACTCATCCACTCACTCACCCACTCACTCACTCACCCACTCACTCACTCACTCACCCACTCACCCACTCACTCACTCATCCACTCACTCACCCACTCACTCAATCACTCACTCACTCACCCACTCACTCACTTACTCATCCACCCACTCACTCACTCACCCACTCCTTTACTCACTCGGCCACTCACTTACCCATTCACTCACTTGCTCACCCACTCACCCACTCACTCACTCACTCACCCACTCACCCACAACACAGACTTAAATATATCACACGACTTCGATGTTCTGATGAAGAAGGCACAACACGCTGTTCCACAGTTTGGCATCTGCACTGACAATGAGTAAGGACGGCACGGGTAGCCAGCACCACACCCGGCCGCCTTTGTCTCCCTCCCAGGCACAAAGACAAAGATCTCCCCCTATCCCACCCGCTCTCCATATAGGCTCAACAGACTGTTGGGGCAAGTGCTGCTAAGTTCGTTGTCCTTCCCCTGCACCTCCGATTAACACGGTTGCCCACGTACGGCGCGAAAGAAGTTCAACTCACACACGCACATGCAGTGTAGCGAGTAGCAGCAGCAGCACCTATGAAGGCCGGCACGGCACACGAGGGGATGGGTGGCACAGCAACCACGCCCGACCGCCTTTCTCTCCCCAGTGGCCATGTTTACTACACACCGCACCAGGTGCTCATTTGAGGCTGAGTCGACCTAGGGGGAGGCCTAAGAACGGTTCAGAAAATCGTCACTACCGGTGTTGTTGGTGGCCGTGAGCGGGAATCGAACTCGGGTGGCCGAGTTTGTAGCGCAGCAGCGCGCTCACCGCTACAACACTACCACTCCCCCCACACACGCACACACACACCGCACACACACCCATGACAACACACACACCACACCCAAAACACACCACACACACAACACAAACCACACCACACACACGACACCCAACACACATACACAACACAAACCACACCACACACCACACCACACACACACCACACCACACACATCCAACATACACCCCACCACACAACCCACACACCCACCCCACACACACCACCCCACACACACCACCCCACACACCACCTCACACACACCACCCCACACACACAACACACACCACCCCAACACACCACCCCACACACACCACCCCACACACACGACCCCCCACACACTCCACCCCACACACACACCACCCCAAACCACCCCACACACACACACCACCCCCCACACACACCACCCCACACACACCACCCCACACACACACCACCCCACACACACCACCCCACACACACCACCCCACACACACCACCCCACACACACCACCCACACACACCACCCCACACACCCCACACACACCACCCCACACACACCACCCCACACACACCACCCCACACACACCACCCCACACACACCACCCACACACACCACCCACACACACCACCCACACACACCACCCACACACCCCACACACACCACCCCACACACACTACCCCACACACAGCACGCCACACACACCACCCCACACACACCACCCCACACATACCACCCCGCACACACCACCCCACACACACCACCCCACACACACCACCCCACACACACCACCCCACACACCCCACACACACCACCCCACACACACCACCCCACACACACCACCCCACACACACCACCCCACACACACCACCCCACACACACCACCCACACACACCACCCCACACACCCCACACACACCACCCCACACACACCACCCCACACACCCCACCCCACACACACCACCCCACACACACCACCCCACACACACCACCCCACACACACTACCCCACACACACCACCCCACACACCCCACACACACCACCCCACACACACTACCCCACCCCCCACACACACCCAACACACCCCAGACCCAACCCACACTCACCAGCTTTGGGCGGATTGCGCCTGACCCTCATCCAGTCGAAGGTGTGCGTCTGGAGGAAAATCGGCGAGCACGATGACTCCAACAACGACGACTCCGAAGACAACGAACACTCCGAAGACAACGAAGACGACTCTGACGACGACTCTGACGAAGTCGCCTGCGGCTCCAAGTTCGTCGACTGGAAGTCAAAAGTCGCTAGCGACAGCGGCGGCGGCGGCGGCGACAATCGCAGGCAACAGAGGCCGTAGCGAGTCGCGCCCGTGGCGAACACCGCGCCCGGCACCGTGGGAGAGTCTCGGATCGCGCGCGGATCGAGGACGGAGAAGGGGCCACGGGAGACGCGTCGGTCCGCCGAGGTGGACTCCATCGTGGTCGAGGTGGACGTCAACTCTGCGTCGAGGTAGTGGCCGCAGCCAACGGGGCCGCCGGCAACAACGCCGACGCCACCACCGTAAGCGAGTGGTGGTGGCGGCGGTGGTGGTGGTGGTGGCGGTGGTGGTGTCAGATATCCAGACTGGCACACAGCGTGGAACGGAGGAAGAGGAGGAGGGGTGGTCGTGTAGCGGTTGTGGGTCTGTTGTTGTTGATGCTGTTGGTGGTAGTGGTGGTGGTGGTTGTTGTTGTCGCTGTGGTGGTGGTTGTGTTGCTGCTGGTGGTGCTGGTGGTGGTTGTGGTGGTGGTTGATGCCAATGAAGAATCGATTCGTGCCGTCGTTCGCGCTCAGAGCGCACGCCACGTCTGGGTCGTAATGGGTCGACGCGAAGGCCGTGGACTCACTGCTGATACCACCACCACAACCACCGCCACCACCACCACCACCACCGCTGTAGTACTCCAAGAAGGAGCTCATGGTCGCATTATCCATGAGACGAGCTGCAGAAGGCCGAGACGGCGGAGCGAAATGCGTGGAACTCGCGCGCGCGAGCGAGAGAGATGAATGGATGGATGGAGATGGTTGGATGGAGGGGCAGGGTGGTGGGTGGTGGGTGGTGGTGGTTGGATGGAGGGGCAGGGTGGTGGGTGGGTGGTGGTGGTTGGATGGAGGGGCAGGGTGGGTGGGTGGTGGTGGGGGGGAGAGTTTCTCACTCTGTGCGCGCTCGCGATGGACGCGCGCGTGAGTCTGCGCGCTGCGCGTGCCCGTTGCGGTGGTATCAGCGATGTCAAGGACCAGCTTGACAGCAACCCACCCCCCCCACCCCTCCTCCACCACCACCACCCCCACAAACTCTCCTCGCTTTCATCTACCTAAAGGCAATGACAAAGATCACCCCCCACCCCTACCTCCATATCTCCTCCCGTATAGCCTCGATATGCTGTAGGGGCAAGTGCTGTTAGCGAGCAGCACCTATGAAAGCCGGCACGGCACACGAGGGGGTGGGTGGCCAACACCACAATGACACGTAGACACAAACACACGTGCACACACATACACACACGTGCACACACACACAAACACACACACAGACACAAACACACACACAGATACACACACACGTACGTGCACACACACACAAACACGTGCACACACACACGTTCACACACAGACACACACACACGTACCTGCACACACACACACAACACACAGACACACACATACGTACGTGCACACACACACAAACACGTGCACACACACACACAGACACACACACACACGTTCACACACACACACAAACACACACACAGATACACAGACACACACACACGTACGTGCACACACACACACACGTGCACACACACACTCACACGCAATCATACGCACACATATATATGCATACACACAATCACAAACAATACGGAATAGAAACACGTACATATGGACACATGGACACATTTACGAATACGGATACATATGCAGTATAGACAATATAAAAACAAATAGAAAGATCCCCCGTATAGCCTTAATAGAGTGTTGGGGCAAGTGCTGTTAGCGAGCACCTATGAAGGCCGGCACGGCACACGATGGGGTTGTCCAGCACCACGCCCGGCCGCCTTTGTCTCTCCCAACAGCACAGGGTCAGTTTGTGGCTGAGTCGACCTAAAGGGGAGCCAGGACCGGTTCTGATAATCGCCACTCGTGGTGTTTGATGGCGGTAAGAGCGCGCTAACCGCTGCGCCACCGCTCACTGCCCACCGCTCATTCATTAATCTGCTCACTCGGCGTTCCACGTGCAGACGCGCGCGGACCAATAGGAAGCCGCGTACCCCTCCCCCCTCGTCCCCCCCACCCCCTACGGAGAGGGGGGGGGGGTGCCCAGGGGATTCCCCGGAGCGCGGTGACGTCACAGGTTATGATAGGTGCTCGCAGACTCAACTGAAGTATTGTTTTAGTTAAATTTATATTTAAAGCTTTCGTGACTGCAGGGATTCATCTTCTTGGTTCTTTCGGTAAAGTCACGTAGGAGGGCAGTAATAAAAGAATAAAAAATAAAACAATAAAATAATTCTCACGACGTTTCAGACTCTGTCGCCTCGACGGACCTGGTTTTCACCTGAGGACGGCTGCTTGCGTTGTGGCCGAAACGTCGTGAAAATTATTTTATTATGTTTTATTTGTATTATTTTATTACTTCCCTTCTACGTGACTTTACCGAAAGAACCAAGAAGATGAATCCCTGCAGTCACGAAAGCTTTAAATCATATTTTATTTTCATTATTTTATTGTTTTAGTTTTTATTTCATTTTAAACCTGCTCCGCAGATGACAGCCGCTCGACGAGATGGGATGCTTCTCATCGTCGTGGTCATCACGTGGACATTGATGAGCGGCAAAAATGTCTCCAAAACGCGTGGTGACATCGATTTTTAAACGTGGAGGGAAAAAAACACAATCCACGCGACCACGGGGGGTAGAGAGAGAGAGAGACACGCAAACTCCAAATATACAGCAGGCGTCAGGGTCTGGATCGAACCCACGACCTCCTGTATACCAGGCGAGGTAGTCAACATCTCCCAGCCACCGTGATGATGATGAGAGAGACACGCAAACTCCAAATATACAGCAGCAGGCGTCAGGGTCGGGATCGAACCCACGACCTCCTGCATAGCAGGCGAGGTAGTTAACATCTCCTAGCCACCGTGATGATGATGAGAGAGAGAGACACGCAAACTCCAAATATACAGCAGCAGGCGTCAGGGTCGGGATCGAACCCACGACCTCCTGCATAGCAGGCGAGGTAGTTAACATCTCCTAGCCACCGTGATGATGATGAGAGAGAGAGACACGCAAACTCCAAATATACAGCAGCAGGCGTCAGGGTCGGGATCGAACCCACGACCTCCTGCATAGCAGGCGAGGTAGTTAACATCTCCTAGCCACCGTGATGATGATGAGAGAGAGAGACACGCAAACTACAAATATACAGCAGCAGGCGTCAGGGTCGGGATCGAACCCACGACCTCCTGGATACCAGGCGAGGTAGTTAACATCTCCTAGCCACCGTGATGATGATGAGAGAGAGAGACACGCAAACTCCAAATATACAGCAGCAGGCGTCAGGGTCGGGATCGAACCCACGACCTCCTGCATAGCAGGCGAGGTAGTTAACATCTCCTAGCCACCGCGATGATGATGAGAGAGAGAGACACGCAAACTACAAATATACAGCAGCAGGCGTCAGGGTCGGGATCGAACCCACGACCTCCTGCATAGCAGGCGAGGTAGTTAACATCTCCTAGCCACCGTGATGATGATGAGAGAGAGAGACACGCAAACTACAAATATACAGCAGCAGGCGTCAGGGTCGGGATCGAACCCACGACCTCCTGCATAGCAGGCGAGGTAGTTAACATCTCCTAGCCACCGTGATGATGATGAGAGAGAGAGACACGCAAACTACAAATATACAGCAGCAGGCGTCAGGGTCTGGATCGAACCCACGACCTCCTGCACACCAGGCGAGGTAGTTAACGGGGACTGACTGAGCGTCGATCCAAACATCCACATAACCCACTTCATGTCCCTCTCTCCCTGTGTTGTCCATCTCCTGTTGTCTCTCTCACTCACTCACTCTCTCACTCACTCTTTCACTCACTCACTCTCTCACTCACTCTCTCATTCACTCACTCTCTCACTCACTCTCTCATTCACTCAGTCACTCTCTCACTCTTTCACTCACTCTCTCATTCACTCACTCTCTCACTCACTCTCTCATTCACTCAGTCACTCTCTCATTCACTCTCTCGCTCTCTCATTCACTCACTCTCTCATTCACTCACTCTCTCATTCACTCACTCTCTCACTCTCTCGCTCTCTCATTCACTCACTCTCTCATTCACTCACTCTCTCACTCATTCACTCTCTCACTCACTCACTCTCTCATTCACTCACTCTCTCACTCACTCTCTCACTCACTCATTCACTCACTCTCTCACTCTCTCATTCACTCACTCACTTACCCACTCTCTCATTCACTCACTCTCTCACTCACTCACTCTCTCATTCACTCACTCACTCTCTCACTCACTCACTCTCTCACTCACTCTCTCACTCACTCACTCACTCTCTCATTCACTCAGTCACTCTCTCATTCACTCACTCACTCACACTCTCACTCACTCACTCTATCACTCACTCTATCACTCACTCTCTCACTCACTCACTCTCTCACTCACTCACTCTCTCATTCACTCACTCTCTCATTCACTCTCTCATTCATTCACTCTCTGACTCATTCACTCACTCTCTCATTCACTCACTCTCTCATTCACTCTCTCACTCACTCTCTCACTCTCTCATTCACTCAGTCACTCTCTCATTCACTGACTCACTGACTCTCTCACTCACTCTCTCACTCTCTCATTCACTCAGTCACTCTCTCATTCACTCACTCACTCACACTCTCACTCACTCACTCTTCCACTCACTCACTCTCTCACTCACTCTCTTATTCACTCACTCTCTCACTCTTTCACTCACTCTCTCACTCTCTCACTCACTCTCTCACTCACTCTTTCTCCCACTCATTCTCTCACTCACTCACTATCTCACTCACTCTCTCACTCACTCACTCTCTCACTCTCTCATTCACTCAGTCACTCTCTCATTCACTCACTCACTGACTCTCTCACTCACTCTCTCACTCTCTCATTCACTCAGTCACTCTTTCATTCACTCACTCACTCACTCTCTCACCTCTCTCTCTCGTTGATCACCCCCCACCTCCTCACCCTCCCCCGGCCCCCTCCCCCGCCCCCTCCCACCACCAGCTCGCACCGTCACCCCCCGTGGTACCGTTTGAAGGCTGACTGGCACACACACAAGGACAAAGAACCCCCGTGTAGCCTTAACAGACTGTAGGGGCAAGTGCTGTTTGCGAGTAGCACCTATGAAGGCCGGAACGGTACACGAGGGGGTGGGTGGCCAGCACCACGCCCGACCGCCTTTGTCTCCCCAGTGGCGATGTTTACACACCGCACCAGGTACTCATTTCGGCACACACACACACACGTGCACACACACACACACGTGCATACAAACAAAGACATACACATTCAGATACATAGATACATATACACATACATACAAACACGTGCAGACACACAGACACATATACAAAGACATACAGACACATACATGCAGACATGTATGTGTCTGTATGTGTCTGTGGTGGCTAACAGGACTTGCAGGGGCAAGTGCTGTTAGCGAGTAGCACCTATGAAGGCCGGAACGGCACACGAGGGGGCGGGTGGCCATACCCCTCACACACACACACACACCTCTCACACACACACACACCCTCATACACACACACACGCCCTTACACACACCCCACACACACCCCCACACACACCACCCACACCACACACCCCACACACACACACGCCCTTACACACACGCCCTTGCACACACATCCCACACACACACACA